AATAAGGCCAGATTTTTTTATTTCTTGTTTCTCGAGTTTTTATAAGTCAATTTTTTTGAGGAGGGCGGAAAAAATATTAAAATAAAAAAAAAAAAATTTCCATTACATTTGTGTGATTCTCAAAGAATTGTAAGTGAGATCATTGATCGAAGAGGAGAAATGAAATAAAATTTTATTCTATGTATAACCTGGTTGGCAATGTCACCAATTGGGACACAATTTTCAGCATTAATGAGGGATTTCTCGTTTTTTGACGACAGAGTTTCACGACGCGTCACCACAAACCACGTCGCCGCCTTGTTCGCATAGGGTAGTCTCAAGCAGCACGCAGAGAAGTCAATACCCAAGATTCACTGTCAACCAACGCACATAAAGTATAGATCTGCGCAAGACTTCGGTACTTTGATCATGATGCTCCCATGAAAATGCAACTTGGATTTGTTAGGCGGCGGGCGGAAAAAAAATTAAGATAAAATAATTCTTTTAGCAATTTTTTGCACTCACAAGTTGGCGGGCGCGAGAAATTACACTGAAATAAAATTTTATTTTTATTTCATTTTCGACTCCTGTTCATTTGGTGGGTTCGCGAAACAAGGGATAATAAAAGTCTGGCCTAACACATCTCCTGTGTCATTGGTGCCAACTTGTAACGGCCACTGTCAAAATGGGGACACTGATAGCATAGTCTATACGCTATATACATATGTACCAATATTCTACATTAAATCACTGTCGTAGGGTTGTGTCCAGATTCCCAGAGGGCATCTTCTATTGAAATCCCGTTTTGTCAAGTAAACTTCAAGGACTATGGAATTGACAAGAAGACAACCAAAATATGTGGTAATCTTGAGAGGCATAGTCTGCCTTTGACAGCCTCTTATTGATGATAATGATGATATAGTGTGTGTCATAAGTCATTATTTTGTACAGTTTTCATCACATGGCCAAAATCGATGAAATGGTGACTACTCGACCCTTAGTTTTAACATCACATTTCATATTGGCCTTGTGTAGGTAGTGTTACTTTGCCTATGCAATTTGTCTAAAACAATATTTCATTAAGATTTGTTTATTTTTAAAAAGAAATTGTTCAAAATCACAGTTATTGCCACTTTTATATTTTAAAACAATTGGTTTAATTTTATCATGCAAAACTCAACGCATTGTTAGAAGACACTGATGCGGTATATGTTTATATGTAATTTGGTACTTTAGTGAAAAATAAAGTTTAGACTATAACTGATACATGATACAAGTTGAATAAGTGAATAAAAGCTGATTTA